AACTGAAGATTAAGTCCTCTGGCCGGTATTTGGTGGCAAACAGCCCTGGAGCTGTTCAACCTTTAACACTCTGTATTCAAATCAAAAACGAAAGTAAGGGCGAAGTTGTTAACTTCCCTCACTCACTTAGTCCACATCTTTGGTCTTTACCCTTTCCATTCCGTCTAATTCCTATCAGATCTATGAAAATACTCCTTCATTTCTGACGACTTACACGCTGTATTTGAATACATTTTACGCCAAAGACTCTGAATGTACATGTAATAATTACACTACCGATACAATTTTTTTTATCTCATTTTCAGGCAGACATTTATTCATTACAACTGAGCCACCAAAACGCCACTGTCACAGCTGCAGGGTTCTTCACCCTCGATAAAAGTATATTTTTGGGGGTAAGTTTAATATATATTATAAACTCGTATGTATGTTTAGGCACAAATATAATTTTTTTTAGCTATTTAGCAGCTGGGTTACATATCTAATAATTCTAATACAATTTAATGGTTAACATTACTCCTACCACTGCACAAGACTCCACAGAAGAGTAGAAATTAATTACAATGTAGAATGTGAGAATAAACATATTAAGTAAAGTGTAATGATTTTTAAATTATAAATAGATGTACTGTTCTGTACATTTTTATACATTTCCAATCAATCTATTCGCTATACATACAACGGTTCAAAGTTAAGGCTGGTGTTTTATGGACAAGAAATTGCGCTTTTAGAAAGACAGGGATAGAATAAGAAAATCCATCTAAACTATAAAAACGTTGAAATACAAGGATTCCTTTTAATTTTTCACTGTGAAAGATCACGGAGAAGATTGCCCATTGTAACAAAAGTCGGTACGCGTAGTAATTTATTTGTTAGTTCTCGGAACGGATGGGCCAAAAAGTAAAATATTTCAGTCAACACTAATTTTATCGAAAAGTTAAGAGTCTTCAAGTAGGTAGCGTCGCCACAAGGCCGTCTTTCGGAGAAGGCTTCATGAAATTTAACAGTATTTTTTAACAAGTTCACTTAGACTGTCGGGGCCATCTGGTATAAAGAGAAAAATCGATATTTCAAATAACGCGCGAAATGCATTCCAAAGAACGTAAGAATTCCAATAATAAGTTGTTAGAAGTTGTTAGAAAAAGAATAATAGATCAAATAGCTGGTTTTTGGGCGAATTTTCCAAGCTATAAGAATAGTTTAAATGAGATTGACTAATCCGTCCCGTATTGCTACACGGAGTCACTAGAGGAGGGCTAGGGTTACTTGTAAGTCCAGTTAGTCACAGAATTATTTATGTAAATGTAAATTCAGCCCATTAGATAACTGTTAACATGGCATACTTATGCCAAAACGTCCCAATATTCAGGGTTCCCGCCAGTAAGATAAGAACATAAACGTCTGGACCCAAGAAATGGGCGTGTCGTAGCGAGGTGTCGAATTCAGGAGAGATCTCCGAAAAAACAGACAGTTTTTCCTTGGGTTCCACATTGAGCAGTCTACTTAGATTTAGAGTGTCGGGTTAATTTAATAATGGATAAAGTCATTCCAAATTTTGCTATGGATCGCGCATTCCCTGAATCGCGGTACGCTGTCGCGTGTCAATAAATTAATTAATAATGTTATTCGAGCCCGTTGTGTCGTTATTTTGTTCGTTTGTTTTGTTTTATTGTTATTAAAATCCTTCCTGGAAAGTTTTGGTGTTTTCTTGTTCTTCTAACTTAAGTGTCACCCTATACAACCAACCACTGGGTTACCTTGTACATGAGCGACATACGGTGTCTGGTATTCATTCTCTGAACGTACGATATTTCTAAGTTCCCACGTATTAATTAAAGTGTAATGATAATTATAAACTCCCTTTCGAGAAGTTAATCTCTTTTGTCAGTTAACACCGTTATGATGCTGGTCATAGCGGTAGATAGATAAGTAAAGAAATAATCCCTCAGGTTTATACTCTGTTCTCCGTGATCTCCCATTTAAACATCGGAATGTATCTTTCCTGTTTGTCGAGAATTTTGTAAAAATACTCATTAATTATAATTAATTCATGTGTTAATAGTTTTATAAAAACATTCTGCAGAGTGTGATTATGTTTATAGTATGTACAGTGTGATTCACTATATTTTGAACCCCCCCCCCTTTAAATTTTTTATTTTAAGTTATAAAAAAATGTAAAATATAAAAGTTGTACGATTTTTTATGAATTTTTCGAAAATGATATTTGAGAAACAAATGAAGTTCAAACAAAATGGTCGCGAATGTTAACTTTGTTAATTTAAATAGAATACCCTGTATATTTTTAGATATTTTTGCGAATATGATTTCAGTTTTACTAAGTTAGTTCTTAAAAACTCCAGATTTGGAAAAGGTTTATCGGGATGTCTTGCGTGGAATTCAGCGCACGCATTGCGTATACTTAAGCTATTAACATGAAGAAAAATTAATTCAACTTTCTCTTTTGGATTGAATAACTTATTCATCTTAGCAACTGAATTAAAACGATATTTTTACACACATTCAAATACAACAGTTCTCAAATAACACAATGACAATACAATAATGATAGCTCTCCTTTCAAACAACACAATTTTTATTTAATATCCAAGGCTTACTATTGCTCTTTTAGCTTCTTTTAGTTCCTGCCGACTGCAGATTATTTTCGTTATTTTTGCTGATTGTTCGAAAACAGCTACTCCAATAAGGAATTGTGACATCACATTTTATATTTAGAATTTGAAGGTTTGTCAAATTATGTTAAAAAATACGGTGTTGCTATTTAAAAAAAAAATATCGTCTTTGTAGCTACTTAATTAAATAAATTATAAATGATTCAGAAATTTAAGATTTTTTTTATAGAAATATAATTTAAAATACAGTTCAACCCACAGTAGCTAAACGATGGTAAGTACAATTTAAATTTTTTTAAAGGGAAATTCAAAATTGCTACATCGACATTTTTTATTTTTCACAGATCATAAATAAAAATTTATTACCAAAAATATGCAAGTACTCTAAATCAATAAGATGAATTTTACTGAAAGAATGACTGAAATAATTAAGTTAATTATTTTTTTGGTTATTTATTATTTATTCTAGTTTTATTTTTCATAAGATCAAAGTATTTCGGACGCAAATAGAAGTTTATTGATTTTTCTTTGATAGTTGCTCTAACAGATTTTTTCCCTATTCTATTTTTATATCCAATAAAAATTAAAAATATTCTTGCTGACCTTGGCACTTTCTGTGCATACGTGCAGAACTAACTCTTCCATGCACTAAAATTATTTTTAAATACAGACGCATTATTTGCAAGTCAAATATTGAGATACTCCTACAACGTTATTTAATTTCTCTGTTTATTTATTTTTTATTATTTTGAAAGATAACGTATGTTTACTAGGTAAATTTTAATTGTTTGTTTTTAATCCGAAAATATCATCATAAAAAGTACAAAACCACAACAAAACCAGAGACGGCTTCAATCTCTAATTCAAGGCCACCGAAAACTATCATAATCATATGAGATTATTTTCAATGAACGAAATTTTAACCAGTGCAAGCGTGATTATTTTCATATTTTTCGTAGAAATAAATGTTTCTAGTTTAAAATTGTAAAGGAATTTGCAAACAAAAATTCTCAAAGTATCTAAAAATCTAAATAAAAACATCAGAAACCGTGTGGTTGTTTTATAATTTGCACAGTTATAAACCAGTTGAACAACGAAATAATTATTACATATTATAAATTAAGTACAACGAATTCGAATTTAGCTTCAGATTTAGTTGAAAATAGATTTTAAAAATGAATTAAGAAGGGTCGAGTTATTCTAGTATGGACCAATTTTTCTTCGATTTTTCCAAGAAAATTTAAAAAATACAAAATGAAAATGCCAAAAATCCAGATAAAAAACCTGCAAGCATATACACCGAAAACACTGATGTCAGTTTTTCTCTACGTTCTATGTTTTAGAGGAAATCGCAGAAAAATTTAAACACTACACTTAGCCTTACAAAGAGGGACAAATAATATTCTACCGTGATGTTAATAATAATTGTTATACACAGAATAAAGTGCGATAGTGATGTAATGCCACTACGCCGCCTACTATGATTTTTATGACAAGTGAAATCATAAAAAAGATCTATTATAGAAAATATTGCAACATGGTTTAATTATTCAGCAGACTGCGAAACTCGCGTATCTCAAATTTCCTTCATTTATAGCTTTCCTTGTTTTTTTTTTGTGAAACATAAGAAAGTGTAAAATTTTGTTGCATTAAAAATTTATCTTTGTGTTTATTTGGACTATTTTAGTATTACCAATTAACAGTAATAAAAACTTTGAAATTTCACTATAAAATTGTATTTCTTTTAATTAGTCATTATTAAAACCTTTTCAATGTTTACCATTTTGAGGTACATACTTTGCATTCAATTTTTTTAAGGGTAACACAAATGTATACTATCTAAAAATTATTAATCAAATTTAAGATAAAGGTAGCTGAACTACGCTACGCTATCGGATTTTCTATAAAAGAAAATCTCAAATGATTTCACGAAATCACCATTCGAATAAAATAATGATTTTGTACATGCATACATGTCGAAAATCGAAATTATACGTTCTCAATCAAATCTCAACACCCTGTATACAATTTCCAAGACAATTAATTTTTATTATAAAATCTATATTTACCATTTTGTAAACTCTAAAATGTTTTGGAGCCGACTCTTCAGAGAACAGCAAACAACTCAAGTACCGTAGTATGTTTCATTGGAAACCACAGAAATGATAAACATTTTCCGTTTATAGAAATGATTACAAGCGTTTGACCAAACCTACGTGTCGCTACTTCACGTACCTATAATTCCGACTTCCCTATCAGCAAACAATCGATATCAGACCAAGGCAATAGATTATTAATCTCTTATCAATAACAACTTATCAGTATACCTAATTTTTTCCAGTTCTCAGTTTATTTTACCTACAATTGTGTAAATAAAAACTGCGCAACCGCATATTCAAACGGACTCCAACGTAGTGCAAGTAAGTTTAAGTTGTTCCTTGTGATCGTGTTCCTGTAGATTCCAGGCGTCCACTTGTCCACGTAAGTACGCAACGTTTTACCCTTTATTCGCCCTTTACCTTAAAAATTTCTGATTATATTTTTTATGTGCTAAATGTTAGACGGATCGATTGTAGAAACGTGACTAATTTTTTCCGGTAATGGATCACGGACTTATGTAAGATTAATATTTTATGTGTGTACAAGTAATTAACATTTTGTCTTAGGCGTGTTATCAGTTTAAAAATGTTCAGGTTTCAATTTCGGTAAAAGAATACACGATGAAGCTTACCGCGTGTGAATAGGGACAAGTGTTTCAAAATTTAATGTTTCAGATATTTAATATGAAAAGTGACTTGTGTGAAATATGGATGTATTGTCTGTGTATTGTAGTCTATAAACCATATAAATCTTGCGAAGTTAACTGTAACGAAGCTTTGTTTTTTGTTTTAGAAAATCAATTTGAAAAGAAAGGACTATCAAAAATAAATGCACCGTGCCATCCTTACTAATAAGAAACAATTAAAAACTATCTACTGTTGAAAAATTACCTTAAATACCTGCCTCTAAAAAATATACTTTTCCCAAAATTACTTAAAGAAACAGTTGTCGACAACATACAAACACAAGTTCATCAAACCTTTTAAAGTTCATAGACACATTTTAACACTTTTTTTATATCTACTTGTTTTTATTTGGGGAAGAAAACAGAACTTTAGGCAGTGGCGGCTTTTGCCTCCCATGCCAGGGGGTACAAAGAAAGTATTGGAAAAAAATCAAATAAATTGGGTAGTTTTATTTTAAGTGCTATTGAAATATAGGACGAACGTTCATTATTTTTTATAATAAAAGTCAATTCTTCTGCTTTTGTCCAAATTAAACAGAGCCCAAACTGCATAGTAAATATGCAGTACTCTCACTCCGCCTTTCACAGCTGCGCGACTGTAACCATGACCACCGCTGTCAACACTTTTCAGATTTAGAGGCGAGCTACGAGTAGCTCACATATTCAATGTTTTTCAAAGAATTTCGCGTTAAATCGACTTCATATTACAAATTTAACATTTCCTTTTTAATATTTTTCATAAGGCTAAATTTTAAATTCAATTTTTCTAGGGGGTGGCGCCCAGAGCCCCTCCGCACCAGCCGCCACTGACTCTAGGGTAGCTGCACCAATAATTGGAGTTATAGTCACACTATCTGAAGACTCAGAAAAATTTGAAGACATTAAAATTTTAGTAAAAAAGAACATTATTTCTTAGTCTCTAAACATCTACATCTACGAGTATAATACATGCATGTCATGTTTTCTACTATTATCCAATGCACCAATAATGCCCATACAAAAAAAAACAGCAGTTGCCTCTTCATGTTCTAAGTAATTGACATTAATTTATATTATATTTTCTTTTTAATGTCCTAAGGAACTCCAACATTTTAGCAGCTGTGGAAAACAGCATACAACTGCGGCTTACAGTTATGGCAACATATCTTTTGAGTGATGAAAAAAAAGTTTATTTTTGTCTTTGCACTTGTACCAATAATTGTCAGTGCTGCATCTATTTTTATTATATCAAAAAGTATAACCACCATAAAGAGAATCTATATTTTTCTCTTTATATCTTTAACAATAATAAAATCAAAATTATATTATTATGCAGTATATCGAATTATTTTGAAATGTATTATAATTACCATTAATATCAATTATTGAATTTCCAGTAATTCACACAGCCCTCTTAATTAAATCAAGATCAACATTGAAATTAATATAATAAACTATTAAATTATGTATAACCGATTTAACTGTGGTGTATTTTACTTAATTTTCAATAAAATTTCATCAAATAATACAAAAAACACTCTGTTTTAACAACAAACTGTCGAAGCTTCTAACGAAAGAACACGTTCTCTTATCACCGGCTTCAAACAACACTATTACAGGAATTATAATAGAGACATGGTTTCATATCGTGTGACATATGCAGTTTTTAAATACATAATCTTATTTTCTAAATTACAAGTACAGTAAAGAAGTAATTGCCGTAGCAATTACTGATGTAATTTAAATTATTATAATTTTAATCGATTTTGATTTCAGGATGTCCGAGGTAACGACGAAAATTTCCAAGCCAAACATGCGTCGATTGCTCTACAATCAGATCAAAAAAAATTTGATTGCCACTGGTGTATCTGTTTTGATCGCTGGAGTTTACATGAGATTTGTTTTCAGCGACAACAATCGACGCGATTACGCAAATTTTTACAAGTGAGTTCGACTTTACTAAAACCTGGTCTATTAAATATATACTTTTCGTCTTGAAATAATTCAAGATCTGTAAAAATATTCAATGATTTATTGAGGAGTTTTTTTCCTAGAATTGTGATCATAGGTCCTGAAACTAAAAAAAGACTTATTTCTTACTAACTTTGAGAAAAAAATACAAAGTAGCAGTGCAGCAATTTTTGCCATGTGCTAAATAAAATTCGTTCCCAAAAAGACAAACAGTCAACATTGTCTACGAATAAATCCACAAACTTTTATTATTTATTTATTATAATCCTGTTCTTGTATTTTCAGATCATACGACATTAATAAGGAGTTTGAAACAATGAGGAAAAAAGGACTCTTTGATTCCTGTGATCCAGAAGATTAAAAAGCGCTGTAGTGGATAATTTAATACAAAGTAGTAATGTTTATTAGTTATTAATAAATACTATATTTTTAAAAGTATTCAATAAAACATACATAACTCATAATGTTGCAATAATCCTATAATTTTTTTAACAAAGGAGGCCGATGAATTCAAAAGTTCTGTTACTAAAGCAACAGTAAATACGTAAATTGAAAGCATTGTTTGTGAAAGTAAAAAATGGATAAAGAAGACTGTTTCAGCCCCTTGAAAAGGCCACAGATGCAGGGTTTGCTTGCGAAAAAAACTAAAATAATTCTAATTAGATCTATTATAATAAGTGCCCTAGCTGGATTTGCGTTTAAAGTTGGATATATCGATAGAAAAAAGGCCAAATATAGAAATTTTTATGCGTAAGTTCGAATGTCATTGTTTTAAAACTAATTTTACACTTAATGTACCTATTACTGAGTATTACTTTCAAATATATTGATGCATTTTTAAAAACTGACAAAAGTAATGTGAATATTGGACTGAATGAAAAATAAGGCTACATACGATTCTATAAAAAAAATGCTGTTGAAAAAGGCATAATTTTTCCTTGAACAAAAAGTATTGTATAAATTTAACATAATGATTATACCTATATAATAGCGTAGCTTATAAAATCAATAAGGTATTATGGGCATATTATAAAAAAAACATTAACATTTATAATATTAAAAAAATATTCCCACAGTATTTACTTGGACAGATTCTAATAAACAGAATTTGTTTATATAATACTGGGTTCAATTTTGTTTTTAATTATATAGGTACTTTTCCGTAAAGCCGGCCCCAGGTGCATTGCGAACATTCGCGAATATATGTGATTATTCGTATTCGGTGGTGTGAAACTTATACCTGCTTCCCCATATCACGTAGCTAGCGGTCGGTATAGGACGCGTTTTGACTCGTGACTCGTGACTCGTAGTTGCTCGTACTCAGCTATAATCGCGATGAGTGTGATTACATGTAAACAAAAATTTAAACAGTGGTTAAACGATACTCACTACAAAAATTCGTCTCAATTTTTTCTATTTCACTTCTGCATCGCACCACAGAACAATAAACAGAAAAACAACAAATGAAAATTGAAAATCTTATGGTTTTAACATAGCACGGAACACAGAATAAAATTTTAGAATGACACAATAATAGGTAATTTCCTTTCATCTAGATGTGTAGGTCAGCATATCTGTACCATCAATCAAATATGGTAAAAACATCCTGGAATTAAAGTTGCTGTTGATATCACTATTCAGTATTCACCTAGTTTTTTTACACCGGCCGCATTTGCGGTCGGGGTAGACGACGGATGGGGCCCACCTACGAAGGCTGTCCAGGCCTACACGAGATGAGGCAGGATAAAGAGGGATAATCCCCCTCGATCCCAAATCATTGAGGCCAATTTCTAGCCATGGAATAATGGCGCGGCGTGGCGCACCTAGTTGTGCTTCACCATGCCTCCGTAAAATTACTAAATTTTTAACAGACTGAAACTACAGGATAAGTAATTTAAAGTAGATAAAAGGAAAATATACTTACAGCGTTTTCACCTTTGCACTCAGTACACAGTGAGCATATCTTCCCATGTACTGTCAACTCAAATTAAAAAATAAATAAAAGTTTATTGTGGTGTATACATACAGTCTTCATAAATGCATACGAGCCACGTGAGCGTCGAACATATAGGCAACCAACATTGCACAATTAGTAATTATTAACTAAAAATCCCTAAATCTTAGTTATTAGTCATCAAAATTAATGATTCGTTCACAAATGGACAGTGATAAAGTGAATTACCACTAATCACCTACGGGTGAAACAGAATATTGTGATTTATTTCATTTTGTATCGTTTGTTTGAAACAAAATAAACATTTATTCATTTATTTTTTTCAGAAATTATGACATTGAGAAGGAGTTCGAAAGAATGATGAAGAAGAATGTATTTGATTCTTGTTAAAAAAAATTTCGAAACAAGAATTGCAAGTTACCAATATTTTTTATAACATGTAATTTTATTAATACATATTTCTAAGAAAAATATAGTCCAGTTCTTTTCAAATTTGTTGCACGTTTATTTTATTTTGATGTGCAGGGTGTTTTGAAAAAGATAACCACAAATTTGGACGATGTGATGTGCCTACCATCTTTTATTTTTGACATACGTGTCAATGAGAGACAATTTTTTAAAATCAAATTTTAAGTCTTCAAAACACAAGCATAAGCACTGAAAATTTGATACATACAAGTTTGCATTAGCTGTTAATTTTTTACCATCTGCTAGAGGTCGCTAGCTACAATCTTACCCATGCGTTTTATAACAACTTTATTAAGGTATGTTTTTATGATTATGGTATATTATAACATAAAATTTATGGTGATATTCTGTAATTTTCTTACTGTGCTGAAGTGTACAAAATCAGTTACGTTTGTTTTTCTGTGAAACTCTAAATAATAAGTCTGATTAATATTTTTTGGAATATTATTAGTTATACACCCTGGATCACCCGTCCACCCCTTCTAAAATCCAAGTACTTGGTTATGTGAATTGTGAAGAATGGTTCAGATGAAAGTTACTGGTCTCCAAGGGGCACATATTGTCATGACCTTGAAGGTCATTGTTCAAGGTCAATTTAGTTTTTTTAATGGAAACCCTTATTTTCAACCCTGGATTCGGAGAGCAGAAAATTCTACGTTCAGACGATATATTTACTAAAAAAAATTGTAAAATTTGAAGGTCATTTTACATCACTTAGTCACTGTAACAGGTTATAGAATAGTACAATATAAAAATGATGCTCTTATGTTTATATAAAAAGAGACCATTTTCTATGTAAATTTAAATTTTACACTGTTACATACGATGTACATTGTAAAATACCTTATTTCAAAAAAGCTGTCAAAAATGGTACTAGGTTACGTTATAGCTAGCAACTTCTAGCAGATATTCAAAAGCTAATAATGCGGATGTATTAGCTCCCTCAAAAAATTATCTATACAAAACAAACTTCAGTGCATTACATTTTTTGGAAAAGGGAAAATTTGATTTAAACAAGTTGTAAATGGGCTATTGGTCTATAGGAAAAAATCATACTATTTTTTGACATCCTATCTGCCCCTAATTTAATGCCGTTTTTCCAAAACACCCTGTATAAAAATATATACATCAGTTTTCATACTTTTTATATATTATTGGTGAGGTAATCAATAAAACAACTTAGGAAACATTTTTTTCAACATTTAATTAAAATATATATAAAATCTGAACAATTGATAAAAAAATAAATGCAATTTTTTACTAAAAATTTGAAAGTCAATCTATTAAATAAGGACTGTCTAACGCCCCTAAACCTGCTGCCACTCCCCCTTCGTTTGCCGTGCTCACTTTGGTTCTTAGCATATGTCCCACTTGTTTGTTCACCAAAATTTTCTCTGAATCCCTAAAAGTAACAATGTTGCAATATACAGGGTGGGCCATTAGTGTAAGAAAGTAAAATAACGCCCTTGTTATTCATAATACAGAAAAAAAGTTTAAAAAGTTGTACAGAATCAAAAAACGTAAAGGACAAAATTAATTTGAAACACAGGGCGATGAGTAAAAATGGGACATGCCAAATACTACATTCTTTAAATGGAACACCATGTATATTTTTATACATATGGATTTCTGAGAAAATTCTATATATGGCAATAAAACAGTTTAACATTTTAGTGTGGGGTTGCCAAGTTATGTAGAAAATTCTTCAAACTTTGGAAAAAACATGACCTCGAAGAAGTTGTATTAACTTTCAACTACTAACACTTGGAGCAAAAATATTTGACAGAGTTATAGGCAAATGTTAGGCAAAGACTCCTATATTAGCTAATATCGATATTTTATACAGGGCATTTTTTAGAATGCGATCATTTGAAGAAAGTTCAAACTTGATTTTCTAAAATTTTTCAAATGGAACACCCTGTATTTTATTATTCTATTTGATTCACATATCAGTCCACGTCAACCTTTATTAAGTATGTTCTACACCTAAAGTTGTTAGTTTTTAAGATATAGCAAAATTTCTGGAAAAACCTACTTGTTATTATTTTTGGTCACACGAAATGGCTTTGGAAAAAACTATCACATTGTGTCAACTTGTCAGTTCATAATTTATCATTCCATTTTGAGTTAATTTTATTAGTTAATATTTATTTGTGGTATTCTATAAAATAATAAAAAATAAGTTTTTCTTAGAAATGCTGTATCTTAAAAACTAACAATTTTACATATAGAACATGCTTAATAAAAGTTGAAGTGGACCGATATGTGAATAAAATAGAACAATAAAATACAGGGCGTTCCATTTGAAAAATTTTAGAAAATCAAGTTTAAATTTTCTAAAAATGATCATATTATAAAAAATGCCCTGTATAAAATATCGATATTAGCTAATATAGGAGCCTTTGTCTAACATTTGCCTATAACTCTGTCTAATTATTTTGTTCCAAATGTTAGTAGCTGAAAGTTAATACAACTTCTTCGAGGTCATATTTTTTCCAAAATTCAAAGAATTTTCTACATAACTTGGCAACCCCGCACTAAAATGATAAACTGTTTATATTGGCATATATAGAATTTTCTCAGAAATCCATATGTTAAAAAATATACAAGGTGTTCCATTTAAAAAATGTAATATTTGGCAGATGTTCAGCGTCCTGCCATGACTTTTTTGCAGGACACTAAATGTCCTTAATTTTACATATTTGTATATTTTTCCAAAATATAGTTACAAGACTTATGCAATCTGGCAATCGTGTACTGAAGAAAGTGAAAAATTTTGAAGCTATAATAAAAAAATATATATTTTCAGATTCATATTTTTTTCCGATACAAAGTACACAGTACCTGTGTACCTAGATATCTGCATAAAATAAACTATGGTTACTTGAAAACATCTGGGTATTATAAAATTAAAGTACATATATAAAAATTAATGAAAAGTGCAATCATTACATTCAACAATTGCAATGTCAAGTGTAAAAATCAAATGCTCACTAGAAAAAACAATTTATTTTAAAAATTCAAAATTATGGTCAGGATCTTTTATAAATTTCAAATATTTTATGATGATACACTTGTCATATGCCCAATTATTATTGAAAAACACCAGACGAGCAACACTAATTGCAACAAAAATAAAAATATTAGCAACTTAATACTTACCCTATTATTACACCAAATATTCCAAGTTCCGATACCATCTCGCACAGCGGTGGCGGATTTGATCCAGCCGGTCTTACAATGTACCCAGTTGAGAGCGGTGGTAGGATTCTTTCCATAAGGATCCACGCCGTTCTTTCTCTGCTATCCTTCATTTGTAACATGACTTCCCTTACTTCGGATCCATAAAAATTATTTCCGCCACCTTCCCTTTGCGGTTTCAACACAAATCTAAAAATATAAGTGTAACTTAAATAAATGTAGATTATATTAACAAAAAGCTGTACCTATCTGGTTCATTTAGAGCCATTTGGACAGCCTGATCACCGAATTCGTCAAAGTCCAATCCATAGAGTCCTGTAAATATATCTCTAACACTTTCGATTTTCTTCGCTTCAGTAAGAAACAATTCTAGTATTCCAGATTTGGCGAGAGCCTGCTGTACTTTTTTCGTACCGGCTAAATGGTACTGGATAGAAGGACTCTTAATGGCTTGAGACCTAAATAAAACATAAAAATAATTACGTAAGAAAAATAGATTCTATAATTTATTATTTACCTTTCCATCAACAACCTTGCATCCCATTCTTTTTTACTTGGATAGTGTCCCGGTTCATAACCTGCTCTGAAATAGATTACACTAACCACAAGGCCATCTCTGAAAGATAGAAAAAGAATTAACCTAGATTTCTAACGAAGGAAAAGTTACTCACATGATTAACTCATTGTTCGAATTTAATGACCCATTATCGCCGACTTGTGTCAGTGTCCTCCTAATCACTTTAACGTGAGGGTTTAATTCACGAATTTTAAATTCGTGGAGCCGCTGATCACAAATATTATACGTAACATCTTCCACTATAAATAAGATCACCGCCTTGGGATCTCCGTATATTTTCCAAGCTTCCAACATCCCTTGACACAATCCCGCTAGTGCATTGTTCTCTGGCAGCTATAGAAGTGATATTGCGTTAGAAAATTGAACAGAAAGTGGGTCAAAAATCAACTATTAATTATGAATTATAATAAAAACCGTTTCTTAAATAAAAGTGAAATAAAACAAGTATATTTAAGTTAAACTTACATTTTGAATATGTTCAAAACACCCCAGTTCTTGTAAAACATACCTAAAAGAGAAAATTTATAAAAAAATGGAGTATCTTGAGGCCCATTCACAACGTTTTTAAAAATTATATTGTCTATTTTCTAAGCAAACATTTTATACATAATTCTGTAATTTGCTGTATAAAAATCCGAAATGAGGAAAAACTATCAAAACAAACAAGATATATAGTGTCTGTGACATTAAACTACATTGGACTATTAATGGCCGATTGTACATTAAATTTTAAGACGCTTAAATTAAAAACTCTTTCTCACAAATGTTTTAAACACTACTTTGAAATCTGAAAGATATGCTAGAAAACTTAAAATATTTTCTTAAATTGTGTTTAATACATCAGTGAAAGCAAAGCTTAAAATTTAAGAATATGATAAAGCTATTTCTAATACAAACTAGAGAAAAGTGAGAGTGATTTTTGCAGCAAAAATGTACAAGCCTTGCAAAAATTTGCATATTCATTTATGAAGTGAAGTGCAATATTTATTTTCATTGTTCTTGCAAATTAAATCTTGTTATATACAAAACACACTGTACATAAAATGGTGAAATAATGAAGCTCTGTAATGAATAAAATTGGAAATGCAACAAGTATGTAACTTTTTAAATTATGTCCGGCTTCCACAAATGGCAATTCTTAAGATCTAACATTTCTATTTTATAAAATACAAGGTATCCGCAAATTTCACCAACAACGTTTGACTGCATACTCATGACGATAAATAAACACGATCTATGAAAAAATAAAAACTTTTTGGTTTTTGAGTTTTTACTGATTGCTTTAAAATTTGCCATATTTATTTGGACTATTATGGCATATTATCTCTTAAAGCTTTAGTCAAATCGATTTACTGGGTGATAGTTTTCTCCGGTTACCTCTCCCTTTCAGCGGTCAAAACTTTTACAGTGATCGTATTTTTTTTAAATGAGCAGCAACATTGAAAAGGTCGTTTTATTTTAAAAAAATATTTTCTCTTGAGAAAAGCGCCTACAGAAAGCTATTTTTGAGAAAAATGGCATTATTTGCAGGTCTGTACGCTTTGGTTTCTGTAGGAATGCCATGGATTTAACTCAAATATTTAAATTTGTGACACTGCAACGCAAACCGAAACATACACACCTGCAAATAATGCCATTTTTCCCAAGAATGGCTTTCTGTGGGCGATTTTCTCGAGACAATTTTTTTTTTTTAAATAAAACGACCTTTTCAATGTTGCTGCCCGTTTTAAAAAAATAGGACCACTTTAAATGTTCTGACCGCTAAAAGGGAGAAGTAACTGGAGAAAACTATCACCCAATATATCGATTTGACTAAAGCTTTAAGGAATAATGCACCATAATAGTCCAAATAAACATGCCAAATTTTAACACGATCGGAAAAAGGGTTATGAAGTTATTAATTAAATTAGTTTTATTTTTGACAACTTTGAAGTCCTGCAACTCAAAAACCAAAAAATTTTTATAACTTTTTTTTCGTAGATCGTATTTATTTATCATCGTGGATAGGCAGTCAAACGTTGTCGGTGAAATTTGCGGACACCCTGTATATTTTTATACTTTAAACTAAAGGTAACTGGATTTTAATCAGGTTTGCTAGAACCACGTTATTATTATCGATTTAAAACTGTGATTAAAATGAATAAAAATTTCAAATGTAAATCAAATAATTAAATTTTGGAAATGTCAATAAATGAAAAATAGTTTCGTTGTCAATTATAAACATAAACACTGCACTGCGATGACAGTTCAGTTATAAAGCATCTAACATGACTCTAAATATACAGGGTAGCCCATCGAAAACGTACCGCAAGGCATTACAGGGTAGTAATGAACTTTTCGGCAAAATCCAAAAACAGGTAAAGTTTGCTTCTGAGGGGGACAACTTTTGGCGCAAAAAGCATAGCGAAATCTTCAACCCCTAAGTGGGGGTGCCATTCCCCAAATTTTTTTAAATGGGAATGGGGTCAAGTGGGGGGTCATTAGAAAGGGCTTTTAATTCTCTATACATCGATTCTTACTTTTTGAAAGTCGATCCATTATTTTAGAAAATATGCAGCTTTGAAAATACGAACAATATTTTTGACGAGAAATGCGAAAATCGATTTAATTTTACTTCAAAACTTACGGTATTAGTCAAGTAAATGCTGAAAATGTTGTCCGCCAACTTGCATACAATGATACAGGTTGTCTTCAAACCGTTGTCGAACATTCTGGAGCACTTGCGGTGTTACTTCGCGACATACATTAATGATTCGTCCTCGCAGATCTTCCAAGGTATCAGGTGGAGTGCTGTAAACTTTGCTTTTAATGTGCCCCCAGAGAAAGAAATCTAAAGGATTTAAGTCGGGTGACCGAGGGGGCCACTCAATTGCACCTCTTCGTCCTATCCAGCGTCCTGGAAACGTCTCATTTAGGTAATTGCGCACATTGAGCGAGTAATGTGGAGGAGCTCCGTCTTGCTGGAAAATCAGTTCGTGTTCATTGTAAGCAGGGTCGTCCTCTATGATATTTGTTAGAGCTGGGTCGATGACATTTTGTAGTAAATCCAAGTACATATCGCCTGTCAAATTTCCAGGAAGGAAAAAAGGACCTACAATGGAATTTCCAAAAATACCTGCCCATACATTCAACTTCTGGGGGTGTTGGGAGTGTGTCTCATGGAAAATCCTTGGATTGGTATCAGCCCAGTAACGACAATTATGGCGATTCACTAAACCATTCAAGAAGAACGTACACTCGTCCGAAAAACACACATTAAAGAGGAAATTATCGTTTATCGCTCGTTCAGTCATTATTTCGCAAAATTGCAAACGACGATCAAAATCGTCTTCATTTAGCTCTTGCACTAGCCGAATCTTATAAGGATGGAATTTGTATTTTTTTAATATTCGTTGGACACTTGTACGACTCACTCCTGTCGCAGTAGCCAATTGCATTGTACTCAGCGTACTATCCATTGCCACTTGCCCCAATACCGCTATTTCCGTAGGTTCATTTAGTACCGGATTTTCAACCTGCCTCTTTTTGTTATGAACGGAGCCAGTTTCGCGAAATTTGGCCACCAATTCGCGAACAATTTTTCCAGACGCATGTTTCTCAGGATGCCGTTGGTTGAACAGTTCGGCGACCCGATTTCCGCATTCATTGTTTTTGAAAAAAAGCTCAATAATTTCTACTCTTTCTGGAATTGAGTACACCATAATTAATCAATTTAAAAGACTCGGCAGTATTGGTACTCTTCAACTACAAGTCACAAGACAGTTATCTAGCAACTTCTTGTGGCCTATCTAAATACGAAACAAAAAGCGGACAATTTTTTGCTCACCAAAATCAGGCTAAAGAATTCGCAAATCAAAAAAAAAAACAGCGAATTCTTTTGAAGGAATTTACCAAGCTAATACCGTAAGTTTTGAAGTAAAATTAAATCGATTTTCGCATTTCTCGTCAAAAATATTGTTCGTATTTTCAAAGCTGCATATTTTCTAAAATAATGGATCGATTTTCAAAAAGTAAGAATCGATGTATAGAGAATTAAAAGCCCTTTCTAATGACCCCCCACTTGACCCTCATTCCCATTTAAAAAAATTTGGGGAATGGCACCCCCACTTAGGGGTTGAAGATTTTGCTATGCTTTTTGCGCCAAAAGTTGTCCCCCTCAGAAGCAAACTTTACCTGTTTTTGGATTTTGCAGAAAAGTTCATTACTACCCTGTAATGCCTTGCGGTACGTTTTCGATGGGCTACCCTGTATACATAATTTAAGTTTTTCTTAATTATTTTTGCACACCTACAATTTGAGGCATTTCTCCCGACCTACTCTGTATATCTTGGCTGCCACTGACCCACCTTGCATTCTCCCCATGTTTAATTCAAAATTCGATTTGTTTGGAAATACATGCAACAAACCTGATTCCTACAATTTACCCTTAAATACACAGGTTACTAAAAAGTATATAACTTGTTACACTCCGAGAGAGATAAACAAACACATACTCTCTAAAAATATTATAGGAAAAAATAAATAAATATTTATAAATATATATAATTTGAGCCAAGTTGTGCCTGAATATTCAAATTAAAAAGAGTTTGTATTAAATGTTTGCTAGAATTATATTAAATACGAAAATAATTCATATAAATACCATAATTTTAAATGTAGCATGCATATGTTATGGACCAAGTGATCAATCGGGCATTACACATAATGCCCGGTCATTATGTAAAATGCCCAATATGAGTGTGCAATTTGATAATAATTATTCAAATAATCAAATTGACCGGGCATTATACATATTGTCCATCACCTTTTGGGCGGAGTAATACAAACATATTTAATTACTATTTTTTTATTATTATTGTCATTTAACTTAAAATAAACTAAATGTTAGACAATTTAAATAATCAGACTCATTATTTGGATTAATTAGCAAGGACTTCTACATTAAGAATCCACTAGTTTCTGCATTTAAAACTTAAGGAAAGTCATATTAAAAATTAGGTAACATAAAATATATAAAATTTAAAACAAACATTTCACAACATATCTTTGTTTTATAGAAGTTTTGACATATTATTATAAAACATAAAATAAACGAAAGTTTAAGCAATCAGACTCATTATTTGGCATAATTAGCATATAATAGTTTTCAGCACTTTAAACTTAATAAAAGTCAAATGAAAATTTAGCTTTATTATCAAATTGCCCAATTGTCACGTAGCAATATAATAATGACCGTGCAATGTGATAAATAATGAAGTTTAGATAGTAATTAATCACTTAGCCCGATAGAGCTAGACATTATTCATAATGCTCGCACATTATTAATAATGCTCGCATTAATCACCTGGTCCATAACACATATATCAAATTGAGATTAAAATGGAATTTACTAGGACTGTGAATTAATTTTGAGGGATTTTTGTAAATTCGGGACTTTGTTGTGAAATATTGTATATATGTATTAATATGTTTCAAAGTATTGTCCATCCCTAAGCACTACTTTTTCCC